AAAAAAAAAAAAAAAAAAAAAAAAAAACACCATATTAAAAAAGTTATAAGCCGGCGAAATAGTGAAAATTTGGAAAAGTTGCTATGCTAGAATTTACACGTATGTTACTAATATGAAACTAAAAATTTACTCAAGTAATCTTAAATTACTATCAATATACCGTTCAATTTTTATTTTTATTTCATCAATATTTTCGAAGCGTCCATTGCTTCGTCATTTAACAATGGTTGAAACTCTGTTGTACCCTTAAAAATCTAGATCATGTCACCGAGGAGAGCAAGGCTGTTGGTGGCAACCGTGTGGATCTTGAGCTTCGTCATCTGTTTCCCACCCCTGGTCGGCTGGAAAGACAAACGGGTAACTATCATCAATGTCAACAGTTTGTTCGCTCGTTACACGGTGTCCTTCTACTTTCTTGCGTTTCGTAGTCCCATCCTACGTACAACATGACATCCGCTCAGAACGGACCGTTCAACACTACCACCATACTTATCCCGGTGAAACCGTGTCCCTGGATCTGCGAGCTGACCAACGACGCTGGCTACGTCGTCTACAGGTAACGAAAAACAGAGAGAAACGACAAAGGATATCGAGCTGGAATACAGAGTGGTGTTGAAATCACCTCGAGTCTGAAATTGAAACGAAGTTACGCCGTTTGAATGGTCTGTGAAGGTAATTGAGGGCGGTGAGGATTTGTAAAGGTCTCACCTGCGAGGTGATTAGAATGAAAATTTTCAAGTTTAGAATCTGCAGGCTCGCAGCTTTGGAAATTGGGATTATACTTTTGGAGCTTAGGATAACTTCAAGGATACTTCAAATTTTCAGATTTTGAAAAGGAGGAAATAAAATTTTAGAAATGAACGTGGAAACTTTAGGGTTTGGATTGTTGGAGAGTAGGAATTTTGAAAATTGAAATAGACATTTTAAGACTTGGCAACTTTAAAGAGGGAAGTTTGAATTTTTTGCAATAGGGATAGAACTGAAAATCGTGGAGGATAACAGAGTTTTAAAATGGAGATTTTAAGAACTAGAAATTTTATAATGAATCTGGAACTAAGAGACTTTTGTGAGAATTCCAGATTTCTCAGAACTTAGTTATCAAATTTCATTGTTCTGAAATTTGAAAATTTCAAAATTTTCACGTATTTACGTTCAGAAGTTAATAATTCAAAACTATAATACGTTGATGCTTGATATTTCAGTTTTGAAACTTTTATTCTATGAAATTCCAGCGTTTAAATCTCTCAGCTCATCTAATTATATGTTTTCTACGACCGTTTTATTAAATATTCCGAATCCATCTGTTCAAATCATAAATAGTAAATAATAAATCCATATAATAAATATATTCTACATCAAAGATCCAGAAGTCCCAAGATTAACAATTTTTTACTTCGATTTTTTAATCTTCTACGAAGAATTGAAATTATTAATAAATGAATTAAAATTATTAATAAATCACATTAATATATCACTACAAAATTAATAAATCATTAACATTACACTGCAAAATCAAAGTACAAAGATTTCAAAAATAAAAAATTCAATCCCTTCAAGTTCTCATCATCTGAATCGAAATTAATT